GGTTCAGCAACTGGCAAGTGGTGTAGCATGATGTGGCTTTGACAGCACTTTTCCTTGTATATTTGTGAGTGAAAATGCTTTCAGTGAAATTTTATTTCTATTTTTATATTTTTTAGTACTGTATGAATATTAAGCACTACACATTATACTTCTGTGCTTGCTTGCTTATTGAATAAAAGATGTGTTCCATGCATTGTGGTTTGCTTATTTTCTAGACCTCCTACTCAGGTCAGGTAGTCTTTGTACAAGCCACAGATCCTTTCCCGTATGCACATCTCCTAACTTATGACAGAAGAACCACAGAAGGATGGCATCAACTCAAACCACCATCTGGCCCAATGAGCTGTCTCTGACAGTGGCCCATAATGAATGCCTGTGTGAGAGTACAATAGAAAGCACGGGACTCTGAGCATCTTTGTGTTTAATAGCCCCCCACAGGGTTTTCTTCCCCTCATGCCGGTATTGACAGCATCCCATGGCAATGCGTTATTCATCTAAATACACACCGTATTAAAAAGGATTAATTTGCTTAGAGACTGCCACTAGATAGTGTAATTTGGTGTTCCTTTGTTCTTGCATTACGACAGATGATACACGGTCACTGTTCAATCCATGTGATATTTTACACGTTTTTATCTTACACCTCTCAGGCAACTCCATGCTGAGAAGCCCTACGAGTCTCTGTCATACAGGACACCAAAACCCACAAACTACAACAAGCTGCAGGAGCAGGAGAATTCCTTCGTGCTACAGAGGAAGACAAAACCTTCCCACAGTTCCTGCAGATTAGAGTCAGAAGAAAATTTCATTAGCAACAAAAATCTAGTTAAATCACTTAATCCCGAGGATATACGAGCAATATATCCTTACTGGCTGCCTAAAAGGCTTCTCGCATATCTGCAGGCACTAGGGAATCCTACTCCCATTCCCAGGCACAGCCTGTCTCCTTTGATACAGCAGATGACCACCCCCCGGCCCCCAAAGCCAAAATTGTTCTTAGGCCACGTTTGTAACAGCCAGGTATATACACATGCCATTGCCAAACTGAGCCTGTGCTGAGGGCCACCAGCTACCGGGCTGAGGGCAGAACAGCTAGTTTGGCCAAAAAAGCATTTCCTTATTGTAGAGAGTAATTGCCTCTGCGACAATCTATCGTGCGCCTACTGCTATGCTGGTGCTCCTTGTTTTTGACAACAAAGTTACTGTGTGGCAGTAATCTGCTTCCTTGGACCAGAAAACTGTCCTCAGCCTGAGCTATTCTTTCCTACCCCTTAACTCTGTTGCCTTCTGTGCTATTAGGTGAAATTCATCCAAGAGCTGAAAGCCCATTCCCACATAAGCCATGCTGAAATTCTACGTTTGGATCTCTGGTCCTCGAAAGCTTTTCAGTCTTTCTGTTAAAGGCCATAAGTAGTAAGCTCCTTCCTATTTTGACAACTTGAACTTTCAGGACTCGGCCAAATAGTCACCATGACCCTCCATCCAACCACAGACCATAGGCCAAGGGGTCTTGGCCAAGTGCCCCAAATTGTCCCTGGAGAGACTGCCTCATTGATACAAATGAACTGCAAATGAACAAAGATACCAGAAAACAGAGACAATTATTTTTTTCTCCCCTCAGCATTCAAATCTGGTAAGCTGCTTCTGCTGAGGTAACTGCCGCAAAGTTAGCACGATAGTGAGATTTCTCATAGTTACGCAGCTGGTAGCCCATTTAGTGATACAAACCTGCAAGACACAGGGCGGATTTGGATGTCTTCACTTCAGCGATATTTCAGACAACCAACAGGCAACGCCGTTTCTTGTAACACACTGTGTACCCTCAACGTTAGTTCAAACCCTCCATCGTTGGCCATATAGCTTCATGGCTATACCGAATATACCACCTCCCTGGATCAATCCATCACTACACAGGTGCACATCCAGAAGCACTCGACAGGCCTTGGCCATAAGCCCCCCGGAAAGGCCCAGGGCTGTGCTGAGCACTCCCGTGGCTCCTGGCTATCCACCCTGGCAACTTCTGCCAGCGGGGCACCTCAGATACCAGCAGCATGAAGTGGCTTGCCTCAGTAACACCCCTCCAAAGCGTTAACATGAAGGAACTGAGGGGAAACTAATCTAGGTAAGAAATTTTTGCACGGTTTTGTATACATTGTATAGAGGTTTAAGTATTCATTGGAGTGAAGCTGGGCAGTAAGGAGGAAAGACAAGAAAGCTAATGAGTAAGCACGAAAGATTCTCGGCACTTTTGTATAAGCATCACAACACAACACGGCACCAATAGTTCTGGCAATAATTATAAAGATTTATAGGCCTGAGTCACCATTATTATAAGCCATTCTGTCTTGCCTGGGCTATAAATAACACCACTCAGTAGCTACCAGCAAAGGTTTAGAGGGAGGATTAAGGAACAGCATTTGCCTCTCCAGTCAAAAGAAAAAGCTAAAGAGAGATTTGGCTGAATGAAACAATACTAACGCCAAAAAAAATCCCAAACCCAGTCACCACGCTCATGGGAAGGACACAGTACAGAAATGATGATACTTAATCTGACTGCATCCTTCTCAGCTGCCGGTGTGCTCACTACATAATCCATTTGATTTCTCTACTGCATCATCTGCCGCCTGGTGTCCTCTAGTGTTTGAATTGTAAAACATATGCAGATGAGTATTTTCTGCTACCTGTCACGCTGTATATCACACAGATAGAACAGAAATAATTGCAACTAATAATCAGCTTCATTCTGGCAACATAAAGGGAGTCTGCAAACAGGAACACCTTCATTTTAAAATAAAACTTACCCAGATTTTGGCATAATGAGTTTTAGACCTCAAGTGCCGAGTCATCTTCCAGTAAAAACTGCTGTTCTATCTTCAGGGAGTGGCAAGGAAGCCACCAACACTGATGCCACTCTGCCCTGGTCTAGCTGCATATAAATCACCCCTCCAAATGATGGGGGAGCAACGGCACATTCTGCAGGCGGACTGGAACAACGCCTCTTTCCAGCTCTCAGGCTTGAGTCACACATAGGTGCATGTAACATCCAGCGTCCTTCCGAAAACATCTGAGCTGCGTGGTCTTTAAAAATGAATGTGAGAAAAGTTTACAAAAAGGCAGGGCAATTTTTTGTACTTCAGGACCCCAGCGTGTGGGAATTACTATTAGCAGTGTATGACTGCTAACAGTAATTCCCACACTGGTTTTAGAAACAGTGAAGCTGTTTACCCCAGTCGAATAGAGAAAGGAGAAGCCTTTGTACTCCCTGCTAATGCAGGAACCCAAATAAGGTTCCTTTGGCAAGCTGTTCTGTGCCAGTATAATTTTTTCTGGATTTTGCCACCTCATCAATGATTGAAATTGTAAAGCCACGCAACAACTTTTGCTGGAGTTCTTGCTTTGCACAGATGACAAGCCCTGGCAATGCACACTGGAGTAGTTTTAGAAGCTACCACCTCCAGCTGTCCACTCTGCCTCTCTGCCAGAAATGGCCACCATGGAAGAGAAACGGCAGAAGCAAATGTGTGCTGGCTCCTCGGCTGCTGTAATTTACAGGCTGACATATTAACTTTAGCTGATATGGATGGTGGTTTCAGATAATAGGCTGATTTGTGAACCGCAGCTGCAAGGAGCTAAAGCATGTCCACGAGTGCTGCCCCAGCTTGGAGGCGATCTCCTAAGTCCTCGTCAGAGCTCTTCTGAAAGAGCTCCGCAATCAGCCGAATGCAGTCTCTACTTGGGAGCAGTCCGTTTCACGTACAGAGCGGGTGCCACCTGTGAAAGATGGTCTGTAAAGATGGAATTGTGTCCTTCAGCAAGAATGGGAGACAAATCCACACTGCCACATGGAGCGAATTAACTAAAACCCACTTTTGGAAGGAATATTGTTTTGTAGGAGGGAGTGCTGCAATAAGACATGCTGTGTGACAGCATGCAAGATGCAGAAAGAACGGTCATGTTAATGGCAGCTGACTGCTCAGACTGATTCCAATCACAACCACTAATATGCCAACTTGCCTGATATGTGTGGTACGAGCGATATTCAAAGTAACTGCCACCCAGACGTTAAATCCACTGTCACCATCTCTGTCACATACTCAGCTTTTGCCAGCACTGAACATAAGATGACAATTTAATCCTCACACACAGATAACAGTAACACAGCTGGTGTAACAGTGTGCTAAGACTTCAGCCCTCACAGGCCTTACATCTGCTTTCTCACAGCTTTGGAAAAGAGTCACCCATAAAATATGTGAGAGCTCTAAGAACTCAGCATGAGTGAACCAATTAGAACAAAACAAGAACCAAGGAAAATGGTTAGATTTCAAGCTCCACTGGGAAGACAGTATTTTATTTCTTCCATACATCACATAATCAAATGGTTGGGGCTTAACAAATACATAAAAATTTACCAGAGGAAACAGAGGTGATGACAAATATTCCCTACTCAAAGCTTGCACCACTCCAGATTTTAACTTTTCCCAGGTTATTCATGTACCACTCTTCTTTGCTTCTGCACCTTAATGGTTTCTGGTGCTGTAACCCCCCCAAAAAAGGCACTTCTAACCCTACTGAAACAGATAATCCTGGAAATGCTGCAGCAGACTTTCAGTTCCTGGCATTGCCACCGCTCCATAGTTGGTACGATTTAAACCCGCAGAGGAAAATCCACAGTGGATTTCCAGTTCAGTTCGTTAACCACCCTTCCTCAGCCATGCATGCTTAGGGGTTGGTCTCTCTTAACAGCCAGACCCTTTTGGACACGTTCATTGTTCCCTCAGTAAATCCCAGTGAGATTAGAGGCTAAAACTACTTCTGACTTTGCTTTTAATATTAAAGATCTGTGTAAGCCTGTGTATTCTAAACAGGATGAAAAAGGAATACAGACAAAAATATGATATGGGCCAATTCAAGTGGTAAACATTTGTTTTTCAAACATGCAAGTATGGATCATTTGGTCACTTTTTTACTCAGTAATTTGCAGCAATTTACATGAATCCTTTAAAATTAGGAAATAATTTCAAAATTATTTTTCTAGCAATAGCTATGACGCTATATAGTCATTACATTCTGCAATCTTACATACTTCTGCTCAAGTTACTGTCTCTGAGCACTACCACTGATTCAAAGGCACCACATGAAAGTTAAGTTACACACACAAATTATTTGTGGGAATAAAAGCTTTAATGTGTCCTGTAGGGCATTAGTCTATATCAAGAACTACTGAAATACTGAATTTGTTCATGGACTTTTGAAAACAGAAAGCATTATTGGTTAATTGCTGATGCGTGGCCAGTGTGTCTGGACCCTACAAGAGACTGTATTTTTTCCAGATGATGGCTACAATGTAGTTTTCGACAAATCTCATTCAACTTATTAAAAAACAATACACCAATGCTTAGGGAAGGCCATAGAATAAGGCCTCTTTTGTCATGTCGGCCTGCAGTAATTTATGCGGTCCTTTTGGAATGAACAAAAAAGGGCTTAAATCAAGACGGTAACACCCTACCAATACTTTACATGGGTCACCACACCGTGAAAAAGCATTTATTTTATACTGAATTAAACCTTAAAGTACCTGGTTTCTCACCGAAACGCTCAATGAAATCTTAAACCAAAATCACTCGGATGCCAACCAGGGTGAGCAGGTACTATCCCCCCTCCGTTGCTCCTCAGTTCTGGGCCCGACCAGCGGGCACGCCACGGCCACGGCCACCTGGCGCCTGGGGGAGTGATCCCCACTTCCCTACGCGAGGCTCCACGCCCGGGCCCTGGGCCCAGCCTCCTCCCGAGGGCTGCGGTGGGCCCTGGACTGTTACTGTCCCACCGCCCAGGAGGAACGGCTGCTGAGGCTCCGGGGGATGGCACAACGCAGCTCTGCGGCTCCCGTTACCCGCTCGTGACCCGCATCCGGCTCGACTCCAACCGGCAGCGCCACCCCGGCCCGGCCCGGTCCCCTCAGGCGAATGACCTGGGCAGGGCAGGGCAGGGCAGGGCAGGGCAGGGCGAGCCTCACCACAGCCCCCGCCCCGCACCCAATAGGAACCGGCCTTACTGTTGCCACGCGAACGGGGGAGCCTCTACCCAAGCATTGATCGCAACGCCGAGCGGGGCCTGGCGCGGCGACAAGAAGGCCTCGTGTCCGGGAACTGTTTGTGAGGGCGGCTGTCCCCCGTTGGGGCGGCCAGAGGAACACCCGCCTCCCTCCCGTAGGCTTTTTGCTTGCACCGTACTGCTCTGGTGGTCGGGGGCAGGGACTCTGGTACAGGGGCTCGCTGCAAGGGGGGAGGTGCCTCTGAGCTTCGTGCTCTGTCAGGGTGAGGGCTGTAGGTTTGGGCTGGAGTCATGACGGTGTGGCTGTTGAAATCCTCTGCTGTTACGTTCAAAAGGAGTAAAGAAAGAAAAGAAGTTATCTTAGCGAGGATGCCATCCTTAACTCGCCCTGCTAAAGAAGAATCTGATTTACGCGTGGCTTATTCCACGGTTCTGTTTGCCAGGGAGTTCTTTCACCTTTCCTCTGAAGTACCTGAAATTGAAACTGAGAGGCTTTATAGTTCATGAACTTTATGGGCTGTTACTCTGTTGCTGTAGCCCAAGCTAGAGCGTGTCCTGATAATCAGAGTGACCTGCTCCACACTGAGGAAGTACAGGGCAGTGCAGGAGGCAGCCTGTGTGCTATTGGACTTCCTTTTTTGATGTGTTGTGGGTCAGCTTTAACTTTGGGGGAATTTCTGACTTTTGGTCACAAAATTACACAGTCCCTGAGCTCATGATATAGAAAATTATCTTTGCAAAATAAAATGCACATCCTGTAGGTTATCTCAGTGTCTTGCATTACTTATCAGAATTGAATCTTAGAGTAGAAATTTGCTGAAAAGCCATCATCTGCTGTAGCAAGGTTATCACCATGGGTTAGAATGGTGCCAGGTCCCTGCCTGAGCGGTTGGAGGTATGTTTCCAGCTATACCACCTTGTTTGACAAACACACGAACAAGTGAACATGCTCAGCCACTTGGATAACATTAGAACCTTTAATGAGCAGTGCCCTTGGAGGTGGTTTGTCCACGTGAAATACGCACGTGCCGGAATACAGAAAGCTCTAACTTAGTGTGTCACACAGGGACAGCCTACATGCGGGAGAGGATATGGTATCTAAATGATTGTTCATTCTTTCTAGAGAGCTTTCATGTTTATTTGCTTCTGTTTTGCATTTCCCATAAAGCAAGTGCTACTACTGTTTTCCCTGGGTTGTATGAAGTAAGAAGAAAACTTCTTTGGTCATCCTCTGAGTAGGGTAAAATCTGGCTCTAAGAAGTTGATATTTCTAGAATTAGCCTTTCCCCCTCAAGCCATGGAAAGAGAATAGGGAGAAGTAGCAACTGAAGACTGAAAATACATTTATTAAGGATTTAATAATTGGAGTGGGGGAGGTAAGAAAAGGAAGGCAATGAGAAGACACCATCCGTACAGTGGATAGCCTGTGATTTGCACATCAGACTTTTTCCTATGGCTAACAAACACTGGCAAAGATGCTGCATGCCTCAGAGACTGGGGGTTCCAGAAAGTTGTGAGGTGAAAGATAACAATGACTTTCCAGGAAGCCCCTGCTTCACCCACCATTCGGATGTCAGGGTGACTTGCCCTGTGTAGTATTGGGTGTAGGTGTCAAGGAGTTGGTAGTGGGGGGCTGCAGGGACTGCCTCTGTGAGAAGAGGGCAAGGGCTGCCCATGCCAGACGCAGCTGCCTCCAGCCAGCTCCAACGAACACACTGCAGGGCACAGGTGAGTCCATCAGCTGTGGTGCATCTCAGAAAGCATATTTAAGAAAGGGTAAAAATACAGCACAGCTGTGTGAGAGAGAGGAGTGAGGGAAATGGGAGAAGTAAGAAATTGTCCTGCAGACACTGAAATATGAGGAAAAAGGAGGGGAGGAGGAGGTGCTGGAGAAGAGTTTCTCCTGGAAGAGACCACGGTGAAGCAACTATGTCCCTGCAGTGTGTGGAGTGGACCACAGTGGAGCAGATATCTGTACTGCAGCCCACAGAGGACCCCACGTCAGAGCAGGTAGGTATGCCGTGAAGGAAGCTGTGGCCTGTGGAGAGCTCATGCTGGAGCAGTTCATGAAGGACTGTAGCCTGAGGGAAGGACCCACACTGAAGCAGGGGAAAAGCACAAGGATGAAGGAGTGGCAGAGAGGAACTGTTACAGACTGACTGCAATCCCCATTCCTCACCCCCCCTGCAACACTTCGGGGAGAGGAAGTAGGAGAGTTGGGAAAGGAGTGAAGTTGAGCCTGGGAAGAAGGGGAGGGTGGGGGGAAGGTGTTTTAGATTCCTTGTCTTTGTTTTTCACCATCCTATTTTAGTTTTAATTGGCAATAAATGAAATTAATTTTCCCCAGATTAAGTGTTTTGCCTGTGATGGTTAACTGATGAGTGATTTCCCTGTCTTTATCTCAACCCATGAGCTTTTCCATCTTGTTTTCTCCCCCTATTCTGTTGAGGAGACGGAGTGAGAGACAACCTGTGTAGGCATCTGGCAGCCACTCCAGGTCAACCCACCATACTGTGGAATCCTCTGGTAGCCTGTTTTGGATCACACAGGAGCTTAGAGTCTGATGTGGCTCTGCTGCTGGTTGCTTGCTATAACCCCATCATGAAAACAACAAATTGTGCTAAAACCAAACTGTTCACCCTTGATCTGCATGAGGGAATTCATAGCTTTAATTGTTCTTTGACAGTTACAGACACTGGCAGTCTTTCAAGTGGAATAAAAATGAAATAAAGGACAAGGTTACAGTGATCCTTTTACTTTAGGTTACATAAGACAAAATGTGTTAGGCTTTACCAAAAAAAAAAGCTAAGAAAAAACAAAGGTGAGACTTGCTATCTGTCTTGCCAAAACCAATACAAAATAGTGAAGCTTTCAGAGACAAATAGAAAAAGCATTCTATTCTAAAGCTTCATTTATTCTTCCAAGAAAAGAAAAGGGTGTAGTCCCATGGTTCTGACTGGAACACTGTAACAGATCCTTATTATTCTGTTAGTTAGAAGCTGCCTTCCACATTTGTATCAAAACTGGCCAGAAATATGTTTATACTGTTTGCGAGATCCATCCGTCTTGTATCTATAGTGAAACAAGCGTCAGATGCAGGAACTTGGTATGTAGACGCTTGGGAAACTCTTATCAATTAAATTATTGAAATGAGGGCCAAATCCCTTAGTGGCTATAAATGCTGTAATTCTTCTGAAGATAGGAAAGCAAACAGAGCTATTCTGATTTATAGTAACTGAGGATCTTGTCCTCATACTAGTAGGAGTGTACTTAAAAATATAAGCAAAGAATCTGATTTATGACCTTTTACACACCAGTGTGAATTCCAAGTAACATATAAATCAGGAACTATTCAGTGCAGTTAAGTTATTCTTGATTTGGGCACTGATATCTTACAAGTGTAAAGGTAGTGTAAGTGAGAAAAGAATACAGGCTTAGTGTCTGAGAAACTTTAATTTTGTTGCTTTGTATCAATAATCTTTGACTCTCAGTATATAGACTTCTTATGGACCATGGACTATTTCTGAAGGATCTGTGAAAGATCCTTGGACAGGCTGGAGAGTTGGGCAGAGAGAAACCTTATGAAGTTCAACAAGGGCAAGTGTAGGGTACTGCAACTGGGGAGGAATAGCCCCATGCATCAGTACAGGTTGGGGACTGACCTCCTGGAGAGCAGCTCTGTGGAAAGGGACCTGGGAGTCCTGGTGGTCAACAGGATGCCCATGAGCCAGCAATGTGCCCTGGCGGCCAAGAAGGTGAATGGCATCCTGGGGTGCAAGAAGAAGAGTGTGGCCAGCAGGTCGAGGGAGGTCATCCTCCCCCTCTACTCTGCCCTGGTGAGGCCGCATCTGGAGTACTGCGTCCAGTTCTGGGCTCCCCAGTTCAAGAAAGACAGGGATGTGCTGGAGAGGGTACAGCAAAGGGCTACAAAGATGATTAGGGGATTAGAATATCTCTCATCTGAGGAGATGCTGAGGGACTTGGGTCTTTTTAGTCTAGGGAAAAGAAGATTGAGGGGGGGATCTTATTAATGCTTACAAATGCTTAAAGGGAGGGCGCGAGGTGGATAGGAACAGTCTTTTTTCAGTGGTGCCCAGTGACAGGACAAGAGGTAAAGGGCACAAGATTGAACATAAGAAGTTCCATCTTAACATGAGGAGGAACTTCTTTACTTTGAGGGTGGCAGAGCACTGGAACAGGCTGCCCAGAGAGGTGGTGGAGTCTCCCACTCAGGAGACATTCAAAACCCGCCTGGACGCTGTCCTGTGCAACGTGCTGTAGGTGACCCTGCTCTGGCAGGGGGGTTGGACTAGATGATCTCCGGAAGTCCCTTCCAACCCTGACCGTTCTGTGATTCTGTGATAGCTAAGGCAAGTGGACTGTTAGTATACCAGACAGACATATTCTTCCACCAGAAAATGTCTAGGGGTCCAGAAAAATAAAAATTGCATTTGGTTTTTACAAGAGTAGTTTAGAGCTCCATCCTGATTTTCTGAAGTCAAAGAAAGCTTTGCTAATGACTTCAGTAGCAGGATGTGCTTCTACTTACCATATTTTTGTTGTAGCCTAGTTACTGAGCCATGTGGCTGTTGCTGCCTTAGCTGTTTTAATGGTCCTTTTGCAAACAAATTGATTTATATATGTCTGCT